CTAAAATGTTGCCCCAGCCTCCCTACCTTGATGGAAGCCCTAGAGAAAGTAGAGTAAGTAGATTTGCCTCAGTGGGGCAGTCAGAGGGTCAGCTAAGAAATCACTTCCTTTGTAGGAAGAGTGATCATTATGTCTGCTCCCAGAGCATATTTGGTAGCTGAATATCTATCACTTCTTCAAGATCTTTCCATTCTGTTGTTAGAGGTATTTCCTGAAACCAAATCTTTGCTCTCACAATTCCGATTAGTCATGACTACTGAACAGTCATTATGAGGAGGCTACAGTGGGCGAAGGAAGGCTAGATTCAGTATTTTTTGATGGAAGCAAACCAAACGTAGGGAGTTGTCTGTAGATGCAATTAAGAGGTCTTTTACTGTAAGTACTGTCATCTTTTAGCTTCAGTTCTGTTTCCATGGCAACCAGATGGTTGGCAAGTGCCTGGCTGAATGGTTTTACAGGAAGCTGAAAAACATTGCTATTCTAAGCAGCTTGCTTTTTGCTGCAGAAAGGGATCCTTCCCTTACTGTAGGCCAGCCAACATTGACTGGGAACAAAGCAGGGTATTTATGCTAATTATATTCTGGGGACAGGGTAAAGAAATGGGGAGAGAATCTCAGCCCCTGCTTACTGATCTGTGAATTTGTTTTTCGGGTTGTTGTTTCTAGCCGTTTGGAGAAACCAAATGACTAAACCTTTTCTTTATTTCAGATATGGTTTCCCTGTTTAGGCTGATCTTATATTCTAGAGATGGAACTGGTTTAAATAAAAAGGTGGTGGCAGTGGGCGTCTTGGATAATCATGTTCGTTAGGATGAAGCCCACCTGCAGATACTTTCAGGCATCTATAAGGGCAGCCTATTTTTTTAAAGTGTCCCCTGTTAGCAGTAGATACATAATGGCTTGGCAGCTATTAGGCTTATCCTTTATTGTGTGTTAAAATTGTCGTTTGGGTTTTCTTTACATCTTAAAACACTATATTTGTATTTGTTTACATGATAGAAAAATTATATTAGGTAGAAAAGCCTTTGTGGGAGTTCAAAATTAAGAGCATTTCCCTTTTGGCAGTTTATGACTTGTAAAGTGACCATTTCTTAGGAAGAAATCATCAGGATATCAGTGCAGGTCCATTAAAAGCCTATATAATAATTTTAGTTTCAAATATAAGCTATTTACTGGATTTCCTTTCTGAGCTCATTCAGATCCTCTTCAGAAGTGAGCTTGAGAATAGGAAAAAAATAATTTGTGTTTAACTGCTCTTCAGTAGAGACAACTCTTTAAAGCTGAGTAGTGAAAGCATTTAATTTCTATAGGATTGTGTGGACTTTTGTTCTCAGTCTCTCTGTCTCTGTCTCTGTCTCTCGGTCTCTCTCTCTCTCTCTCTCTCTCACACACACACACACACACAGTTAAAATTAAGAAAATCCATAAAAAATTTGAAGGTGTGCTTTATTTTCTTGATACCTATCACATTTTTTTTTCCTACAAAATGTGGCCTTTGTTCTGCAGGATAGATATTTCAAGGGTGCTAAGATTTTGGCCCTGATTATATTTAGGTAAGCTGATGTCAGTTAAACTAGTCTGTCACTGAGATCCAGTAGTGTTTCTTTTGCATTTTTATCAGGTCTTAGAAATTTTCAAAAAAATACAGTTGGAAAGTATCTCGAGATCCTATTAGTTAGTGCAACCTTAAGTCACTGAATAACACCAAATGGAAGATCGAATAGCAAATCACTTTGCTTTGAATCCCCTTTATGAAATGTTCTAGTAATAGATTTCACAAGTAATTTTTTCTTAAATCACCCTGAAATAAGGATGAAAGAAGTTTAATTCCCCAAAGGGCTTCATGATCTAGGAGGAGTTTTTAGAAAGTATTTTAAGGTATCAAGAGGCAGAATTTGATCAAGTATTTGCTGAATAACTTCTAAAGGAGCTATAGGATTTGACCGGCCTGTGCAAGAAGTTTATAGATTATCTTAGCATAGAAAACCAACATCATTAATCCTAGAACAAGGACTGCCTTGCATGCTAATGGGTTGATAGGAATCCATAGAAAGAGTGTAGATGTAGCCTCTGGAGAGGGCTACCTGGAGGAAGTGGGACTCAGAGCATTTTTTTAATTCAATAGAAATTTATTGAACAAACCCCATATTCCAGGTGCCATGTACTTTGCTAGAGTTATAGTGATGAGCTAGACAGTGGTCATCTGTGTATGCGGCTCAGAGCCTGGTGAGACGTCTGGACACAAAACCAGGCAGTTACCTCAATGATAGTCTCTCTGTTGGACAAATTACAGAGTTTTGAGAGAACACCTGGATTTGGAGGGCATGGAGATTTTGTTGAAGATTTCTTGGAAGATATTTGAAGCTGAACTAGAATAGTAGTAAATCCCGAATGGACATTGCTATTTACCCACTTGGAATAGTGGGTTTTGTTTTTTTTTTCCTTCCCTCTCAGAAGAACGCACTCCACTTTTCCAAAAGAAGTCTCCTAAAACATAAATATGTAAGCTTTTCTTTGAAACTAAAGTAGACTTCAGAATTGTATAGGAAGAAGAGCCCTTAGAAAAATCCAACCTGCTTTACCATCGACTCCTTGGTAACTCTGGAAAGGGACAGACATACAGGATTCCCAAGGAGCACCAGTGGGTCAGGAAATGGAGACCTCCCCTCGTTCAGGAGGGAGTGTCCTTCTGTGTCCTCTGCTTAGTTAATTATTTTATTTTTTTAGGAAATGGTTTATTCTCCTAGTATGTGCATAGTGTTTTTATTAGACCTCAAGCCTTTGTATCTGTTTCTGTATCCTTTAGCAGGGACTAAATAGGGAAAGAAAGAAAAGTGATTGTGGCAATCTGTTAAGAAAGAGCACTGAAATTATGGCTGCCACCTTTTCCCCCCGACCTAATTAATCTGTCTACTGAAGGACAGAAAAATTACTGTTTTTAAGTGGCCCACATTCATTTGGAAAGCTCAGATATGCCCCCATAGATAAATTATTTCTCAGTTGGATGTTTCCCCATTAGATCCTGCTGATTGCTTTAATTTTGCACTTTAGCAGAAATATTACTTTCCTCTCATTTGTATAGCTTTCTTTTATAAGCCACATAACATCCATTATCCCTGAAGAGCTTCTTGCATTGAGGAAGGAATTAGAAGCAAACAGTAGGTCTTCTAAATTGATACCCCTTTCCTTACCCTTGCTAAGAATGACTTTGAGACATTATTCATGGTATTGGTATATTTTTTTTCTGAGTCAGATTTAGTGACATGGCCCATAACTCAAGGTTAAATCTCAGCTTCAAAATTTTATGATAAAAAGGAACAAACAGACCACCAGAGTTAAAGAACAAGATATTTTTTTAAAGATAGAAGTATTTATGTGTCCAAAGATATGAAATATTCTATTGGTACTGAATGTCTTCTTTTATGGGATGCTATTTTAATTAAGTTCTTCTTTGTACTTCCTTTTTCCCATAACATGTGTTCTGATGCAGCATTCTCCTAGGGTAACATTTTGAACTATAATTATTTTCTTGTCTGTCTCCACTGCTAGACTGTGTGCTTCCTGTCTTCTGTTCATGCCCGGCATGTAGTTGGTACTTGATTAAAGCCAGAATGCATGTATAATAGTAAATTAACGTGGTTTCCATTGGTCAGAGAGAGTTAGCTTGCATTAGACTTTGGGCATTTTATTAGATGTCTCACTTTTAAAAGTATCAACTATTTGGAGTCACTGCTAGGACAATTAAATACGTAGTCCCAAATGTTCATAAACTGAGGACTGGATAAACAAAATGTTGTATATGCCTTAAACTGACTGCTGATTTATTCAGCCATAGAAAGGAATGAAGTACTGATACGTGGTGCCACATAGATGAACCTTGTAAACACACTAAGTGAAAGAGGCCAGTTGCAAAATGCCATATATTGTAAGATTGATTAACATGAAATGTGCAGAACAGAGATGTCCATAGACAAAGTACTTTAGGGGCGCGCAGGGATGAGGAGAAGGAGGCATGGGGAGTGACTGCTAGTGGACATGGGGATTCCTTTTTAAGTGATGAAAATGCGCTAAAGCGGATGGCAGCGATGGTCACCGAACCCTGAGTACACTACAAACCATCCAGCTGTGAACTTCAAATGAGTGTATTGTATGGTGCATGCAATATATCAATGAAGCTGTTTAACAAAAAAGAAAAGAATCACCAGCACTGTCCAGGTAGGGAACCCAAAGTAGCCTTGATGGGGCTGAGGCGGACATGTGCAAAACAAATGGCCAAGGCAGGACTGGACGGCCAGGCAGGTCCGTCCCGGATGCCCTGGGAAGGCGCATCTTCTTGCCAGTGAAGGAGGTGCCTCCATGGTGTGCAGTCACCCTGTGCCTTTGAGAGACTGAGTGTAACTTCACTTTTTTCCATACCTGCGAGGACAGCGATGACTGAAACTAGGGGAGCAGTGAAGACCAGAGGTTACAAAACCCTTTACTTTCCAGGTATCACAGTGCTGTGTTTGGGCTGCCCTTGTTTTACTTAATAATAACCCTAAGGCACAAAAATAGTGACGCTGGTAATTTGGATGTGCCCAAGAGAAGCCCTAAGTGTTTCCTTTAAGTGAAAAGGTAGGTATTTATAGGAAAAACTACAGTAAATAGAGAGTTTGGTACTAAACTGAGAACAGAGCCACCATCAATCCCAGCTTCGCCACCCCTTACCTGGACATTGGGGAAACATCCCTTTACCTCGTGTGTACATCCTTGACTTCCTGGATAAAACAAGAATGTCAATGTGGCTATGAGCACCTCATTCTGCGGTTCTGAGGTCAGGGGACACTCTGGGAAAGTGCCTTGTGATGAGTAAAATGCTTGGAAATGTGATATTAAACAACTTTTCATTCCAGCTCAATATTGTAGGTGAGGCTTGAAAATGTATTTAATTTTGCTAACTTTTTTATTCACTTCTAATGTTTCTAAATTTACTTCTTGGATGTGATTATTTTTTTCTTAAAGGTTACTTGCCTGCAAGATTTTTTTGGTGATGATGATGTTTTTATCGCATGTGGACCTGAAAAATTCCGTTACGCCCAAGACGACTTTGTCCTGGACCACAGCGGTAAGGCAGTTCGCTGGCCCTTTCTGTGGCCCGGAAAGGGAGGCCCGGGCTGTAGTCACTCAGTGCATGTGAGGTGGTCTTCACGTTGCCTTTGAAATAAGGGTAGCATTCACAGTACTCTTTTTGAATTAATGGGAACAGAGGATAAAATGAAAGACTAAAAAACAAAAACGGATTCAGCAGTTTAGTATTCATTTTTTATTGATTTTGTTCTGTCTCTTTCTACTGCATTGTTATGCTCCAGGGATGAATTCCCTGAGCTCTTTCAGAATGCAGGCTGGCGGGGCCACCTTAATTGTATGGACAGGGTTGAACCTGAAACAGTTAGTTGTACATTTTCCATGTCCATAAAGAGAACATGAAAGGATAACAACATTGTTAATAATTATTATCTCAGGTCTCCTTTTACCTTATTGTTTTGTCTGCAACTTTAAAAAGGCAGTAATATGCATTGTTTATATATGCAGAAAAAAATAAGGCAATTTCCATTGATGGATAGACTAATCTTTTCCTCTTCATTTTAGCCAATATATGGAGTTTTCAATTATTTAGCAATAACCTTGGTAATTTTGAATGTTATTGCTTCTGGGAATATTGCTTTACTCTGTTGTCTTGAATGAACTTAAACCTATTACAGTAATAGTGATTATTTTCACCAGTAAAGTCAATTTCATCTTTAACGAGGTAAAATCATACAGGCATAACACTTCACAGAGAAGAGGGATATTAGAGATACAATCTTGCTCTTCAATTTCCTGAATGAGGAAAGTTAGGTTTTCAAAAATTAGACTGAAGGTAGACCCCTTCCAGTTGGAGTGATTCTGACAGCCCAGAATTAGAGAAACATATTGCCAAGTACTCATAAATACCACGATCTATAGGCTTTTAGAAATTTAAGACGGTCCACACTGTGGTATCAAACTTCCCTGTGTAACTCTGTCCCATTTACACTAAGTCACTTGCCTTGGAGTTATTTATCTGCATTGTGCTTGGGGTCCATTGATCTACTCTTTTTGTTTTTCACTGCTGCCAAATTTCTTTGATTGTTTCTGTACCATTTTACAGTCAATTGGACTAGTCCTGCTTTAAACTGGTAGTATCATTGCAAAATCCTTAAAAAATTGCACGTGACTGTCTTTTGTATTATCTATGCAATGTTATCCCTGATGCTCATGAATGGTTAAGGTTGACTGAAACATGCATTTACATATCATCTGTATTCTACATACTTCCTATTTCACTGTAATTTCATTTCACAGTATTTCTTCAATGTCAGTCTTGGTCATTTTGAAAGTTGAGACACTGAAATTCAATGTTATGTTCTATGTTGTAGTTAATTTGGATTACAACAGTAATGAAACATTTATTGAGCACTTACTGTGTTCTCAATTTACATATATGTTGTAAATTTACCTAAGCTAGTCAGACCATTGGCAGTATTTTTGTTGTTGTTGGCCACGGATAGACTCCTTAGAGATAGGAGAAAGCTACTGTTTGCTTCTCTCTCGATTGCTAATTCCTTAACCATCTGCAAACTGGGGATAATAATAGTGGCCTTTTCCTAAGATTCTCTGAAGATTAAGTCAGTTAATATACATATAAAGCTGTTAGAAGTGTACCTAGTTTCAAGTATGTGCTGTGGCTGTTGTTAATGTTACCATTCATTATATCTTCTCATGAAAGCTGGTCTCAGACCTAATTCTGCCACAGGAACACTTACTAGGAGGCAACATTTTTTTTAAAAAAAAAAAAGGTCATTTAACATTGTAACCATGGTGAAGTCCCAACTCTCGGTCCTTTTATGTTTCTGGTGACATCTTGCATTAAAGAGCCATTAAAATCAGTTCACCTAGTGTTGGTCAAGTAACAAAATCCTAAGAGCTGGAAGCAGGACTGTGTCAGATTCCTCTCCCTGGGCTCAGGTCTGAAGCGGTGGTGTTGGCTTCGCAGGTTTGGCTGCCCGCCTCTCAGAAGAGCAGCAACTCAGTAATGTCCGCAGTGCTAACGCACCAAGCCGAAGTGGCTACAGCCCCCTCCGTGTAAGGTTTTGATTAGAAGCTTTCAAATGCTAACTGCCCTCCCCTGGTGTGTATTTTCCTGATTAGTGTACTTCCCATGTTAATTTATTGCCCCTGGGGTATGAATTAAAACAAATCCGCATTTTAATCTTCCTACATAAATTGCAGCATTTTAATGTAAATTAATCCTTAGAACAAGCCTATGAAGCAGATTTTATTCTTATTCCATTTTCACAGGGGAAACACTGAGGTTCAGAGGCTAACCAAGGTCCCCTAAGTTGACAAAGTCAAACCCACAATTTACCCAAAATCTGCGATGACTTTAAAAAGCCATGTTCTTAATTATTTAAATTAGAATTGCTTATTTTAGCTGTAATTAGTTCTGATACTCTAAATGCTATTTGGCTCTTTATGGGAAGACCAAAGATACTGTTCAAAGTTAGTCTCCTTTGCTTTTGTGCTCCGCAGTTTGGAAAGCTGGAAAATAAAATAGTAAGGGGTTCACAAATTAGAGTCCCGCATACCCTTTCCACACATGAGAAAGATTTGGGAAGAATCATAAAAGTGTAGCCTTTGCCCATCAATGCTACTGTCTTTTAAGAAGTCGCACATGTTTAGATTAGGATATGTGTGTCCATCAAGTGAGGACGCTGGGATTTCTGCATCCATCTGGAACAGTGAGGTGAGGTCACAGTCGTGTGGCCTCAGTTGTACTTCAGGGACGGTAATAGAGAAGTGACCATGTGATGGTTCTAGGCAGCCAACAGCTTTCCCCTGTGCGCTTCCCTCCTTCCATGTGCTAGTATGAAAACCAGGTCTATTTAATGCACTTTCCTTCCTTTCTAGAATGTCGTGTCTTGAAGTCATCTTATTCTCGCTCCTCAGCTAAGTATTCTGGATCCAAAAGCCCTGGGCTCTCTCGACGCAGCAAATCACCAGCCTCAGGTAGTTAATGGAAAAGGAATGATGGTCACAGGAGGGACATACCGTTCTCCCTTTGTTTCCTTTAATTATTATGGATTTGTAGTCTTTCCATTGCTTATAAGCAGTCAGGTTGCAGAACAGCATGTAGGTGACGACATTTTTAAAACCAAAAATCAAAGTTTGTTTCTCAGCATTATGATAAGTCACCTAAGAAACTAGCTTGTTTTGTCCTGACACACTTTTTTGAGAGTAATCTTATCTCAATTCTCCTGATACTTAACATAGAAGTGTTTCACATTTTGACCACTGTGCACTGCATTTTAACTTTTGTGCTATATGGTTGTGGATATTCTCTTACTTGTTTAAAACTTACACGTACACACACCTAACATAATATATTTACTCGATTGGTTTCCACAGGCTTTTCCTTCATCGAGCAATTTAATTGTAACAACAATTATTCTTGGAAAGTACTTTGCTTATATGAGAGTCAAACTTAACTGTAATTTAGTTTCTCTCAGGTCCTATAGATTTGTCAATTTTGACTTCTTGGGCATTTGAAAATATAAAAACATCCATAAACATCTTGATATATCGATCCTACCAGCTTTGTATCTCATTTAATTATTAATAAGTGTGTGGAAATTATTTCCCGTTAAGAAAAGGATTATATGAAAAACCATGATTTCACATGTGGGAAATCTACAACGTGTGAAAGTAGAATTAATAAAAATGGCCTCGAGCATCAAACCTTTTATAAAATACTGAGTTTGGGGGCTGTTCTCCTTTTCGCTGCTTCCCCGGCAACACCCACCTACTTTCTCCAGGCCGGGTTGTTTCACCCCTCTGTTTGTGTGCACGTTTAGACCTGCTGAATAACTGCTCTCCTTCCTGTCTCCTCCTCCTCCTCCTCCTCCTCTGTGTATACTGAATGGGTACAGTAAAGAGGGGTGGCCACTACCCCAGTGCCTACTCTACAGCCAAATCCCCAGGTGAGCCATGGTTCTTATGGCTTTGTCACTCTGCTGGGTTTCTGTTGTTGTCTTTTGCCACATTTCTGTTTCCTTTGCTCCATTTCCATGCCTCTATCTGGCTTGTACCCATGTGCATCTGTGCAGAATGGAGTGCTTCACAATTCACAGGGTGCTTCGGCCTCCCTCACTTACAGAGAACCATCTGACAGAAGATCACCGAGTGCCTGTCCATGCATAGTGGCAGCAGCACATGATCAAGGTGGCACATCGCCTTCGGGCGTGCGTTGTCCAGTTAAATTTTGAACATATTTCATTCTTGATAAAGGCTCAGGTTTGTTGGTGATATGAAAATGTCCACAGACGCAATTGTACTATTCTCACCTTTCTCCCCACGCCGGGCTTCATAGACCCAATACTTTCTCTTTCTAAAAATGTTGACAATATTTTTAACTTGACAGCACCTTTCTTTCTTTTTTATTTAAACAGCATTTTAAAAAATATTTTATTTATTAATTTTTAGAGGGGGGGGGAGGGAGAAAGAGAAACATCAATGTGTGATTGTCTCTTGTGTGTCCCCAACTGGCGACCTGGCCCACAACCCAGTCATGTACCTTGATTTGGAATCGAACCTGTGACCCTTTGGTTCACAGGCCAGCACTCAATCCATTGAGCCACACGAGCCAGGGCTGAAAGCATCTTTCTCCTTTAAGTTTATACTGTACTTTCTGTAAAGGATCTGACACACTGGGAAAGCTAACATAATATGAAATTTCCATAAATACATTGAACTGAGCTTACCATATGGAAGATGTACATTTTTGTCAGTTCTTAGCTTTTGTTTTAGTAGTAGGTTTACAGATGCTTATAATATAGTAAAATAACAAAATGTAAGTGAGGAGAGTGGTTCAAGAGTCAGGTGTTGTGTTGATTCCAATTTTGTCTCCCTGAGGTCGAAAGAGGGAAATTAACATACTGAACTCAAGGCACATTTGTCTCACAGACCAACTGCTTCATAACATAGCCTAATAAATGCATAAACTTTTTACACTGGAGTTTGGAATGCTTGGTAAGTAATTGATTCAAGGAAATCTTTGCATTCCAGTACCCCCAATTTTTAACTGAGTCCATATTTGGATTTGGGTCAATAGAATAGATCTTACATAAGTAAAAGTTGTGGGATATTTAAACACCTTTCTGAGGGCAGGCAGTTCTTTGTAAGAGGTTAACTCAAAAGTGCGTTCACTACACACTGCAGTTACAGAATACTGAGGGCCAAAGCAGTTGCTGGTACTTCACTGCAATTCTGAAGAAAAGTTACTATACAGGGGTGGGCAAAAGTAGATTTACATTTGCTCATATGGAAAAAGACATGCAGGTTATGATTATTACAACAGCTTATTAACTCTGTGTTTTGTATACTCACAATTGTAAGCCTACTGTTGCCCACCTCTGTGTTTATTCATATGGCCTTCTCTGTTCCAGCAAGGAAAGAGTTTTGTATTATTAAAAGCCACAGAACCCAGAAGTCTAACTTGCTTTTATAGACTGCTTTAGCTGTGGTCTACATCTTACCATTTAAAAAATTTCAGGGGACTAATTGGAATTTCAAACAGACCTAGTAACTTTGTAAACATAATATTGTACTTTTTCAGTCTTGGGACAGAAACACTTTCATAAGGAAAGTCGTCTAGTTGACTCAATTCCTCATCAAAACTAATTGATTGTAATAGCTAAATAGTGTGTAATAAGCACACAGACGTTAATCTGGAAGACATAAGCAGGTAAATAGTTACCATGATTGGCATCTTCAGAATTCTCATTTTAGGTTTCTAGCTTGTGATTCTTTTTCATAATCGACCAGTATTTTAAAAAGTAGGGCAAACAAACAAGCAAACAGTCAAGTCCCCAAGTATACTTCTTACCTTACCGTTGAGGGGAAGGTGGAAAAAACCCTTCATGAGAGAGAATCAGGGTGTGGTAAAGGCATGGGAGCATCACCATGCTGGCTGGTCATGTGCGCCCTCCAGCCGGTGGCCGCAGTGTCAGGGGAGAACGCACAGTGTGGCCCTGTCCCAGGTCCCACGTGCCCTCCCAAAGGCTCAGGGCACATGTGTAAGGAAATGATATTAAGGACTACTCATTAGACAACATCTTTTTAGAATCTGCCAGATGCTATCTGGAATTTAGAGAGCTACATGTGGCTTAATCTCTCTTTAGGTCGAGAGTTGCTTAGGGGAAAATATGGCCATGTAGTTACTGACACCAGGTAAATCCCTGGCAACACGTTTTGTTGAGAAACTATCGGGAGATTGGTATGCTACAGAGATCACTGTTTGCAGGAATTTATTTTTCTCCATTAGTCCTTTTTCTGTCATCATTCCAAGGAAGATTTTGATATGTGTGGTGTCTGAATCATACTGAAAGCTAAACTGGTGACCTGTATAGATCGCTCTATGGAATGAAGAAGAAAAACTTTCCACTCACTGCAAATTTAATAATTCATTTTTCATAATCTCTATTTTATGTGAATTCTTACCACCAGTTCCCTTTGCAAGAAAATTTTAAAATGCTCTAACATTAATTGAAATTGAACTTAATTGATTAAAAAATCAGGACTGTTGAATACTCTTTTGTTTTTAATCCTCACCCAAGGACATGTCCATTAATTTTAGAGAGAGTGGAAGGGAGAGAGGGAGAGGAGGAAAGAAACATTGATATGAGAGAGAAACATTGATCGGTTGCCTCTTGCACATGCCCCAACCTGAGTCTGAACCCATAACCCATGCATGTGCCCTGACCAGGAATCAAACCCATGACACTTCCGTTTATGGGACAATGTTCCAACCAACCAAGGCACACTGGCCAGGGCTCTTAAATTCTCTTAAAAGTTTTCAATTAATTAGATTGTTAGTTGTGTTGTACTTGCACTCTAAATACCCACACAGATTTGTTAAATGTAAATAACTGATAATTATTTTGATGGTTTTAAATTAGAAAAATGTTTGGTAATTCAAAAATAGAAAAAAAAGTCATCTTCATTTGGTAATTCAAAAATAAATAGAAAAAAATTTCATTTTCACTGAATTTTTAAAATGAGCAGTACAATAAACAAGCATGACTTCATTGGCCCCTATCAAACCCTGTGTACATATGATTTATCCAATCACAAACAACAGACCCAGGACTTCTGCTCCACTTGAGGACTGGTGCTCACCTTTTGGAATCACATAATAAGGACCTTTATGTCTGCATTTTGCTATTTATACTTGTTGGCATCATTTAAAATAAAAGTTGTTTGCTCCATTGTATTAAAGGAAAGGAGATGGACTTTTCTTCCCATAGAGATAAATGGCAGTTTTCATCTACTTTGAGCAAAAGCATTGAAGATTCACGATAAAAAGAGTTATAAATACTTCTTAGAAGTGGGGGAAAAAAATACACCACTACTAGATGTTAAGGACCAGCTTTGTGACATTACAGCAAAAATGGATCCAGGAGATACAATTAGGAACATGCATGAGTCATGCTGAACTGTTTGGCCAGCGTTCTATAGTTAGAATCTACGATTGACCTTTCCCTGTAAACCGCAGTGGCCAGACTGTTTCTAACAGAAGCTCTCAATTGAACTTTTGACCTATGAAGTATGTGGAAGTTTGGAGGAGGGTGTGTAAAAAACCACCAAGATTTGCTAACGAATGGGGAAATTAATCTGTGAAGAAAAGAAAATAGAAGGAATTAGAAATAACTAATCTAGATAAAAAAGTTGAAGACTTTTTTATGGCCTTCAAACCAGTAGATATTACAAGGAAAGTGGCCAGTAGTTTTCCCTCTCCAATAAGAATGTACATAGAAAATGTTTGCATTATAGTGGAACTGATCTGGGAGGCCATAGAACATCATGGTTATTCAGGTTGGTATGTGCCAGGATAGTGGACATGGGAGGTCTTCCTAGTAAAGCATCACACAAATAATAGCCATTCATTTCCCTACCCTAGATGGGCAAGTTCTTGTTCACATCTCTAGTTTGATAATGTTATATACCTGTGTTTATGTCACTTTTGGAAAGCTATTACTGAAAATAATCCTAGCTTCACTCCATATTTGTCTAATACTTTGTCTGTAATACAATAAGCTACATTATTTTGCTTTTTGCTAATTTGCCATATGCTTTGAGCTTTAAGTGAGGCTTCATGCATGTGCTTAGTGTCTTCACACAGTCCACTTGTCTTGAGTTTTAATGACCGCTTTCTCCTTTGCTGTCTCCTGGTCAGTTAACGGAACTCCAAGCAGCCAGCTCTCCACTCCTAAATCTACGAAATCCTCCAGTTCCTCTCCAACTAGCCCAGGAAGTTTCAGAGGACTAAAGGTATGAAGTAGCCTATGTGGCATGTTTGTGTGATTTTGTTATTTTGCATTTTATAGTCTAGTAGTTTAATTTGTTCAGGGGCTTGGATGCAGTAACAAATCAAGCAGGAAGAGATCAGGATTGGGACCAGGAAGTCATGGCTTTGGACCTTGCGTCTGTTTCATTTTGTAATACTGTCCAACTCACCTAATTAATTCTTCTGAGCTGAACTGTTCCAGTCTCTAAAATGGGAATATAAGGTTGTGGTTAGGATGAAATAACATGTGGTAAAATACTATCAGTAGTATTCCTGTTACTAGCAAAATGACTGGCGATGATGACTTGGAGAACCTCTATGATTCTTCTTAAAAAATCTTATTTTGGATCACAACTTTGATATTACTAATATAATTTGACTTTGTGAAAGAGTGAAATACTAGTATGATTCTTATATACACAAGTAGTAATACAAGAACAATATGTTCATTTAGGGAAGGACCTAGAAATAAATGTTAGGTTTCCAATGTGATGCACTATATAAACAGTAACTTAACATGATTACCCGTTGGTTTAAGCATTTTATATAATAGAAGAATGATGAGCGAAACCAAATTTGAAAACTTTCAACTAACTTAATTTGACTTAGCAGCTCTCAATACTTTAAATTTACAAGAGCAAGTGTTCCTGGGAAAATAGCAGCGAATTACTGAGGTTAAAGATTGACAGCTCCCTTTGGTAGAAATGATGAGATGGAGGGATGCAGCGTGCCTTCCTTACCCATACGGATGTCTTCATTAACTTCCATTTTCCTGGTGTGTTTTGTTGACAATGGAAATACCCTCATTAGGAATACATTCTCCAAAGTTGGTTGGTATCTGAGTGCTTTTTCTTTGCTTTAAGGATGCTGAAAAGCAGTTTTCATTAGTAAAATACACAGTGAGAGCTCCCCCCATCCCCGCCCACCTTTGAGTGAATTAGGAGCAAGGAAGCCCAGCATCCTCACCCCTTCAGAGCAGCGAGGTGTGTGACCCCCAGTTCTCACAGGACTTCATTCTCCACACAACCCCAAGGTTTGCTTGTCCTGCCCTGAGAATGTTGGGTCGGCCCCAGAGTGAACATGAATTGTTCTCATCTAAGTGCCTGAAATCAAAAAACTTCCCTTCAGAAAAAGCCTGTTTTTTTGTGTCTCCTTGCTTATGTAGGTGGCAGGCTTTGTACTGAGGCTGGGTGGAGGTGGGCAAAGGGGGAAATATAGGGACAACGATATTTCAACAATAAAAATAAAGTCAAAAATAAGTACACAAAAAAAATCCATGTTCCTTTAGGATAAGGATAAATACCCATTTGGGACGCCTCTGGATTAAACAGACTTGGGAATTAAAGTACCTAGCTCTCCCCTACCTCAGAATGCTGGAAGCTCCTTATTTTTTATTAAAAAAACAGACATTTCCTGAAGTGCTAAATTGGCTTAGGTCAGTCCATAATAGGATTTGAATGGAATTCTTAACTGTCAATTCCAAAAAAAGTTATATAAATTAAAATTCAGTAATATAAGCAAAATATTTTCAGCTTTCCCCCTTCCCCAATTTATTTTCCCCAGGATAGATAAAAGGTACACTGTTTTTGAGTAACTTTCAAGAGAACTAAAGTAAAAATAACTCAAGTTGATTTGTAATCAAACACAGGTCCAGCTGCCTGCTGCTTCAAAGGCCAGTACTTGAAAGACAGGTGCTGGTGTGAAGGAAAAAAGTTTATTCAAATACTGGGGACATGGGGGACTCATGTCTCAAAGCCCATCGTAACATCTCAGTCCAGGCAGAGGTTTTTACAAGGAGAGAGAGGGGAGGCAGAACCAAGCGATCAAGGGAGGCGGTTGAAAAGTTCTCTAGGTGCAGACAAGCACAGTCCGTTCCAATAAGGCCAGTCAAGGTGCAGTGTGCATCGTCCTAGCTTTATGTCACCCTGGCTCCACAGTGGAAGGTCAGCCAATATCCTGGAGCTGGGATGCCTGAAGGCCGGAGTCTGTATCTTTTGAAGTGAGTTCCCAGGATTTGTACACAAATGTGTTTATATATAAGCAAGGTAGTAGTCAGAGTCAGCATTTACAGAAACAATGTCAAAAGAATGGTGGGGCGGGTTACAATTCCTCACTGTTAGAGATTGACCTCTTTTCTTGTTTCAGTTGTTTCGTCCTATCTTAAAGTAAAAACAAGTAGCTCCTAGTGTGGCTCATTATGAACCCAGCATCACACACGCAGCATGAGCTTTCCAGGGAGCCACTGCAAAGGTCATTGGGATCTTGCCCCAAGCTGTTGCTCTGGGCAGGGCTGGGGGCCTTGACCTAGGGCTGCACGTGGTCTCCCAGGCTGGTGCTTTAGTCCCCGCTCGCCCAGGGTCATTGTCATTTCCCCCTTTTTTGTTATCTGTTGGTAACCTGGGCTCGCATCTTTCTTCCTAGCCCATCTTCAACTCTGAACCCAGCGTTGTCCTTTTTTATTGATACTCATAGAAGGGGCTGCTTAATACTCAGAGTGCACGCCTGCTCTCTCACACATGCGTACACACTCCCACAGGATCACTCACATTTCTGGACTTTGAAGATTCATGGAATTTTAAAAATGTGATGATTTGTATGATTGCTGAGAGCTTGCATTATTATTCTCTCTATGCTAGGTGTGTCTTATTATCGTAACCTGAGCCTTTAGCACACAGTAAATTCCGACGGCTTACTTATTGACATCGAAAAAGATAAAGAGAAATGCTGATTACTGGAGGTGAAATGAAGTTTTCAGTAAAATAAAGAGTAGTGATTTTTCCAGGACCCTCACCTGAGGGCTGTGGGTTTTGCTAACAACTATGACACCTCTTGGTGGTGGTTCCCGCCCCCGCCCCCCGAAAATCATCTGTAAAATAAAGATGCTTGATTTTAAACAACCACTAAAAATGCTAGGATTATAGTTCTTCTAAGTTGGAAAACAAACAAACAAACCCTATCTAGGAGACTGGGGAGGCTATTTCTCTTATCCCTTTAAAGCTGATGTAGAATCTCTAAATTTTACATTAAATGTTAGCATCCAAAAGAGTACCTGTCACACGGATCAGCTTTTAGGACACAGTGTTAAACATCGCTACCCCTGCCTATTCCCATAGGTCATGACGCCTTGTGGAAATTTCGTCATCTTACAGTTCCCAGCAGTTAGTGGTGTATATTGTCGTTGGGATGAAAATCTGCCTTTGAAATACTGCAACTTAGTCATGTAACTTACTGTACAAAATAACCCTAATTTCAATGTCATTGTAAAGCTCTCATCAGCATCTGTCCACATTTGCATTATTTTCTCTATTCAGCGACATTGCAAATGGAGAATTACAGATAATTACCATGTGTTAGTACTATGCTTTTTTCTTCCCCTTCATTTAAAATAGCTTATTAAGATCAATTAAGAGGGAATGTCTGACAATGGACAACTGGTTTTCATGGGCAGGAACTTTTACCACTATTTATCCTAATTAGAAGCTTAATGGCTTTGGGGATAGATAATCTTTTTCCAGAGAATCAGGGAGTTGACAAAAGCAAGCAAGCTAAGCCAGAAGAGCAAGTGCAGGAGGGGTTGATGGAGCTGCCTCTCGTCTGCCAGGACGCAGCTTCGGGCAGATGGGTTTTGCTGCTGTTTTCTGTCTGGGTTTTACTTAGGGGGGAATTAAGCCAGCAAGTCAAAGGTAAGCAGAATTTGATGTGGCGTCACCATTTATCCCCTCTTTGCACCAGTTTCTGGGAGTCATTTCGGTGTTTTGGCAGGAACACTGCAGGAGCTGAAAATGGAAATAGACTGGTGGTGCAGCGTTCCACCTCCGACCACAGAGTGTCAATGGCATGTCTGTCTGCTCACTGCAAATGATGGGAAAGACAAAAGCAGCCCCCCTTTTACAACAAGTACTCGTAGTTTTCTCAACCACATCCCTGGGAGTAAGACAGCCCTGCTCCATGTGTATGCGTCCATTAAAGGATTGTGCTCTCCGAGGGGCTGGACCGGAGTCAAGAGAGGAAGCAAAGCTTTCTTCACACTGTGAATAGTTCTTGCAGGGTGGCACTGTAAGACCATAGGGTGGGGACCAAGTAATTAAGGTTCTTTAAACCTGAACCTGAGAGGCTTGAGGACCATTCAGGGCAAGCTGTACCTCAGTCGTAATGTTTTGCTTTTGCTGGATAGTTGCCTAAAACCGTTGAATGTGAAGCCTGGAAGTGGTGTTGGACCTTCCTTTCAGTTTAGTGTTTGTTTAATAGTTGGAGAAACTGAGGTTCAGAGACGTGTGCTGTTCAAGATCCCATTGGCCAGCTGGGCTCTCTCAGCCTTTCCGGGCTTGTGTCTCTACCCTCTGACTCGCCCCGCTTTCGCTGGCGCGTCTGCCTGTGACTCCAGCCAGGCCCCCGGGAGGAAGTGTGCGCGGTTATTATGGAGAAGCTACACCGTGTCTGTCTCCCTGGGGGAGAGGGCCGGGGTGGTTTGTGTGCTGAGGTCCTGGGTCTAGGTTTGCACAAATGCTCTGAATGAAAAGGGGTGGGGAGGTTAGGGAAAGAACAGGGAAGGGAAAGTTGGGAAAAGGGGGAAACAGTCCTGGGGTGCAGGGGCGGCTGGATGAGGGAGGCAGAAAGACAGAGACTGCCTGTTGACAGCTCTTCCTGGGAGACTTGGGGGTAGAGGCGACTAATAGGTAGCCAGTGAAAGCTCTTTTCAGGTGAAACGGTCTGTCTGTACTGTGTGCTCAGCACTTAAACCTGATCCTATAAAGCTCTAGTAAGATGACAAAGATCACAATAGGTTAGGGTTTTTGGTTTTCTTTGGAAGCCGGTAGTGGAGCCGAGTGGTGTCAAGGGTGGTATAGGTAGGAAGCAGTAGTCCAGGCCCAGCAAACACATGGGTACGTGGGCATGGGATGATGCTACATGGTGGGTCTGTGACGGGAGCCCCGTTGTGAGGGGTGGGGTGGCGCCTCTGGCATTTGGAAGCAGAGCTCAGGCT